CGGCCGCCCGGCGCCCGGCCGCTCCGCCACATCTGCAGCTCGGGCAGGGAAGGTGGCCGCGGCGGCCGGGCCGTGCGGGGATGTCTGCGAGAGGGAGGGAGGAGGGAGGAGGGAGGCGGCGGGAGGAGGGACCGGCGGGCCGCGGAGGAGGGGGAGGAGGAGGGGCGCGGGGGGCGGCCTCCCTCCCAGCTCCCTCCCCCGCTGCTTTCCTCCCGCCCTCCCAGCAAACCCCTCTCGCCGCCGCGGCCCCAGGCCCGGGGCGCCAGCTGCCAGGCGGGGCGTGCGTGTCGGGGGGAGGGGGCAGCAGGAGCCGGCGCGGGGCCGGGGGAGGGGAGCTGGGGGGGAATGGCGCGGCCGCGGGGAGCGGGCACCGGGAGGGAGGGGGCGCCAGGCCGTGGCCGAGCGGCGCGCGTCTGCCTCGGCCCCATCCTGGGGTCCCCCCCGCGCGGCCCCGCCCCCGGCCCGAGGGCAGCTCTAGGACACGGCCCGGAGGTGGCCCGGGGGTGGCGGGGGAAGGGACGTCCCGCCCTCGGGGAAGCCCGGGGAGGGGGGCGGGCGCGCGGAGGACTGGAGGGAGGGCGTGCGGGCCCAGAGGAAAAGCCCCGGAGACCGGGAAGATGGAGGAGGTCGCGTCGGCCAAGGGGGCGGGGGCCTCTCGCCTCCCTCCCGCGGGGTCACCTTGGCCAGGCCCCCCGCGGCCCTGGGCGGCGGGGAGGGCAGCAGGAATGCCTCTCCGCAGGCCCTGATTGCTCCGCCCAGTCCAGTTCCAGGAACGCGCGGGCAGCGCCCGACGGGCAGAGGCCCCGGCTCCGGATTCGGGGCGGCGCAAACCAGGGTTCGAGGCAAAGGCTGGTCCCCGCCTTGCCCTCGGCCTCGGTTTCCCTCGCGGGGGAATAAGGATGAGGTCCAGCCCGGAGCAGTCTGGGCTTCCGCTCGGCCCCAGTCTTAGTCCCGGCAGTTGGGACAACCTGCGTTCCCAGCCTGAGCGCCGCGGGGACCCTCAGCGCCCAGCGCGGTGCCCGCAGTTAGGAAGTGGAATGAGCAGATACAAGCGAGTGGGAAAGCCCCGCACCGGCTAAGCTGTTTTCTGCCTCCTGATGTTGAACCCAGACTCGCGTTCTTGAGTGTGTTTTATTCGGGCCAGTCCAGAGCCCAGTTATCTTCTGGCTGCTTTGCTGTCTGGTGGCAAATCTTGGTTCAAAAACAGCCCTCCTGCTGTTGGCAAACTCTGCCACTTCGCACTTGGCCTTGACGAGTCCAGGAGACGAAAACCATCCTCTATAGGTGAGGCATTCTACTCAGGGTGGGATTTCACCCTCATTGGTGTGTTTGATGCCAAGGTCCCTCGCCAGAGCCTGAGAAGCGTGGGTCTTGATCACACGGCATCTCCCGCACCTGGCACAGCGTTTGGCACACAGTAGGTGCTCCCGGCATGTTTTGCACATAGACACAGAGTAGGTGCTCGTTACATCTTAAGCAAAGGTACATGTAGTAGGTGCTCACCACCGTTGCATGAGTGGACACAGTAAGTGCTCACGAACTGTTATGTGGATGGAATAGTAAATGCACATTATATTTTGGGCAATTGGATACATAATAGGTGCTCGTACGGTTGCATGAATGGACACATAATAGGTACTCATGGCTGTTGCATGAATAGACACAGAGTAGGTGCTCATGAACTGTTGGGTGACACATAAAAGGCTCGCAGGCCCAGAAGGCGGCGATTTGGAGGTGACCTCCCCCGCGCCCACCCCACCCCGCTTCCCCTCATGTGGATAATGTGGAGTGAGGCCGAGTTAAACATTAGCCGGCAGATGGGCTGGGGGGAAAGCCAGCTTCGGGACCTAGCGCCTTCCAGGAGGGGGCTGTTAAGGGCCGACTCTCCGGTCCGCTGACCAGCCGGTGCGTGGGGAGGGGCCGAGGCTGAGGGCCGCAGAGCGCCCCCTCCCGGCGTCGGGATCGCGGCGAGTCCGCCCGCAGCGCGGCCCTGCAGCCGGCAGCGTCACAATGGTTGATCTTGATCAGGCTGGGCTCCAGTCCCGGGATAATCCAGGTGTATCGAAAAAAGGTACACAGGGGGCTAGTTTCATATCTGTTAAAAATGCTTACCGAGTGCCTGCGGGACGCCAGGCACTGTGCGTCAATCGGGACAAAGAGTGAACAACCCCAGCTGTCCTTGTCCTCATGGGTCTTACAGTCCACCAGGAACTGAATTAAGTGACCAAGGAAACCCAACGACCTCCGGGCCATGAGGGAGATTGACCATAAGAAACCTTCACCCTTGGGGGTCTTTTTTATAGTGTTTTTTTCCTACACACACTTGTTTTCTTAGACAAGCTGGTTACTCCCAGTGAGCACTGTGATGGGGGATTCCCACGCTGGGATGGTGCATAACAGTATCTCCAGTCTGAGGTGGTTGTGAAGATTAGATGAGGTACATTCTCAATACATATTAGCGATCATTACCAGGTGTCAAGCCTGACCCACGGTGTGTCAGTTCCAGGACCCAGCTGGTGTCCCATTGGCTGCAAATAAACCCCTAAATTTGGCCCCTGCAAATACCACAGGATTGAAGAACTCAATAATCTTGGTGGAGTTGACCCAACCAGAAACCCCCAATTCTCAGCCAAACCAGTTCTTTCTCTGCACCAGATGCTTTACTTTCATTATTCACAACAACTCTGAGGGTGGGTCCTATTATTATTCTTGTTTTACAGAAAAGGAAACTGAGGCACAGAGAGGCTAAGTAATTTGGTCAAGGTCTTAGAAGCTAGTAGGTGGCACAGTCCAGATTGCAATCTCAGTCAGTCAGAGTCTAAAGCTTGTGTTATAACCTGCTCCCTCCCTGGGGCATCAGACAATGGCAGGGTGGGGGTGGGGGACATCCCAGAGAAATGTCCTCCTCTGCCTTCACCCTGGGTTTCCTCCCTCCAGGAGTCCTTACTCTGAACACCCATCTTTGTGACCTGCTCCCCTCCCATGTGTTATGGACTGTCTCCCCTATTAGACCCTAAATTCTCCAAGGAGTAGGACACAAGGGCATTATCTGCTTTGTCACTCTCCCTGCAGGGTCCTGCCCAGGGCCTAGCTTATTGTAAATGCTTCATAAATATTGCTGTTATGGACTGTTTGTGTCCCCCCAAAATTCATAGGTTGAAGCCCTAACCCCCAATGTGATGGTATTTGCATGTGGAGACTTTGGGAGGTAATTAAGTTTAAATGAGGTCATGAGGGTGGGGTCCCCATGATAGAATCAGTGCCCTTATAAGAAAATAAAGACTGGCATGTGCTCTCCAGTGCTCTCGTTCTCTGCTGTGTGAGGACACAGCAAGAAGGTGGCCATCTGCAAGCAACAAAGAGAGCCCTCCCCAGGAACTGGATCTGGCAGCACTCTGATCTTGGACTTCCCAGCCTCCAGAACGGTGAGAAATAAATGTCTGTTGTTGAAGCTGCCCAGTCTATGGTATTTTGTTATAGCGGTCTGAGCTGACTAAGGAAACCTGCTGATAGATGTATTTTAGGGACTGAATCTCATCCTCTAATTCTTCATCAGTAAACATTTATTGAACATCTCCTAGGTTCCCATTCATTCAAAGATGCTTATTAAGCTCTTATTATGTGTTCAGTCAACAGCATTTATTGAGCGCCTACTGTGTGCACTGGGCAAGGCAATCCCATCCATGTCTTCTAGGAGATCTCTTAGTCTAGTGGGGACCCCTTACCTGTCGGTGCCCAGAGGGGACACTCACTCATTCACATACATGCAACTGCCCACTGCAAGGAGAGTTTCCTGTACAATGAAGGTGCTTAGTAAATGGCTCTTCAATGAATGCATGATGCTAGTTCCTGCAGGAAACTCAGCGGTAAAGCACACATTCCTGCCTTTCCAGAGCCTTTAATCTATTCGAGGAGCTGAGAGTGAATAATAGAAGACAACATGAGAAAGTAAGCCTTAAGACCTACATTGCAGATGTAGGAGAGATGTTAGGAACCAGGATGGATGAATGGCAGCGGACTCGGAACTCTGGCCCTTGAACTTTGTTAGTTAGCCAAGCTATGGATCTCTCTGAGCCTTAGTTTCCCCATCTGTGAAATGGCGATCCTCGTGCCTCTTCCAGGGCTGTGTAAGGCTCAGTGTACAGACACACAGGGCTTCCACTGACGCCCTGCAGGGAGAAAGAGCACAACAGTAACAAACTATTATTGTTATTAATGAAGCCTGTAACCCACTGTGAGCGGGGCCCAGGCACAAGGACAGAGTGATGAAGGGAGTGAGATCAGGGTGACTTATGAACCTTGAGCTGGCGGCCTGCTGAGCGTCTTTCCCCGTTGGCGCTGGCTTGCCGTGTGTGCTGCAGGGCAGAGGCTGACTATGGGTGGGGTGTTTATTCTGGGAAGCAGCCCTGGCTGCTCCTCACACACTGCTCCAACGAGAAAGGAGGGCTTCGAGTCAGAACTGAGGCCTGTGCTTGGCCTGGCATCTATGACCCAGCCCACCTGCCCACAGGGCCCAGGGCTAAGAATGCCCAGGAGGCACAGCACCAAGAGCAGCTGAGTCGTTCAGGTTTGGACACACTGTCTCTGCAGGACTCACCTGACTCTCAGGGAACTAGTCATAGAGGGCCTGAGGCGCTCAGCTTTTGGAGTTCTGGAAGTCAAGCCCTGCATGCCAGCATGGAGCTGAGGCTCCTGGAATGGGGTGTGGTGAGTGGGTGACAGTGAAGGTGGGGATGCCCATGCTGGCTTCTCCGCCCCTAGAAGAGACACCGAGCTCCTTCATCAGTGCCAGCTTCATGATCATTCACCTGTGCAGTCACACAAGCCTGGCACTTGGAAGGGCTCATGCTTGGCTGAATGTTCTGCCATCACCATCTTGAAATTCTTAACTGCTTTTGAACCCAGGGCCCCGCATTTTCCTTTTGCACTGGGTCCGGCAAATGGTGCAGCCTGTCCTGCCTTCATGCTTGGGTTTCCCCCAGTATGTAGCTTCTCTCTGAATGGGGCATTCAGACCCACCCCTCAGCCACGCCCAGCCAGCCGGGATTGCCTTAGGTAAACCCATTTCCTGAAAGGTGATGGGGGGCAAGCACCTGCCCCCGAAACCCAATGGGACCAAACTCTCCAAAAAAGCCTGAGGCCGGCTGTGTGATGCTGGGTAAGTTACTCACCTTTCCTGAGCTTCTGGGTATGACAATATTGTACTTACCTCAGTTGGACTGTTGGGAGGCTTAAAAGAGGTAGTTCATATAAAGAGCACAGTGCCTGGCACAGAATAATCGCTCAATAAATTAGAACTATTATTGTGTTTTAAAAATGAGGATTATTACGGGCGCTAACTCAGAGGGCGGGAACGAGGGAGGGGGTCACCCCCGGATCCCTATGGACCTGCCCCAGGAAGGAGGAGGCGCCCCTCCCGTGGCCCTACCGCTCCTGCCTTCCGAGGGAGGAGACCCCCTCCAGGGCAGGGACGAGGGGGCGGAGGAGCGGGAGCTACACATTTTTGAGTCCTGACCAAGTGGAAACTCCCTCTCTGAGGCGGAAGCCGGGGGCGCCCCACTGGGGCCGGAGCCTCCGCCGGGGCGGAATCCACGGTCCGCGGGCGGGGCGCCGCGGGGGCCCGGGCCCCGCCCCTCACCCGCCTCATGAATATGAATAAGCCTGCTGGGGCGAGCGGAAGTGCGAGGCGGCCCCGGCTCCGCTGACTCCGCCCCCGTCGCGGGCCCGCGGGGGGGCGTGGTCTGGCCGTGGACGCCCCGCCCCTCCTGCCCCGCTCGGGGCCTCCTTCCGGCGGGCGCGCCCCGGACGTGACCTCGCGGGCGCGCGCCGGAGCCGCCCTGGGGGAGGTGTCCGTGGCCCCCCCGCACAGGTAGGGTTGCTCTTTGTCCCCGGCGCCGTCCCCCGGAGCCGGGTCCCGCCACCAGCTCTGGCCCGCGGCCCCCGCGCACGCTGCCCTTCTAGCTCTGGCCCGGCCTGGGCGCCCCCCAGGGCGGGGTCCGCCCCCAAGCCAGGCCCCCCAGGCGCGCCCGCAGCCGAGGAGACGTGATGGGAATCTTTGCTTCCCTCCGGCGTGGCACCCAGGGTGGAGGGTGCAGCACAGCCTGCCTTCAGGGGGCTTAAGTTCCAGGGCGAGAGAGGCCGGGGGGTAACCAGTACAATGTCCAGTAGTCAGATGAGTGTCAGAGTCAGGAGAAAAGCGGGGAAGGGCATCAAGCAGGCGGCCAGGGAGGGTCCCTGAGAAGGTGACTTTTGAGTCAAGACCTGGAGGAAGGAGGGAACGAGCCGGTGCCTGGGGTCCGAGGAGCAGCAGGGCATTGAGGCCTGTGTGGCTGGAGTGGAGGCGGGGAGAATGATGAGGATGGAGTAATGATAATAACGGCTCTCTGTCGAGCAGGTGCCGGCGAAGTGCTAGCTGCTGTATGCCTACTATTTCCTTTCTTCCTTAGGACAACCCGGACCTCCCTCCTGGGCACGACCGACCTTTAGCTGGGTGGAAATCAGGCTCAGGGAGGTTGGCTAGCTTGCCCAAGGTCACAGCATTCAAGCCCAAGGAGACTGACGTCATCGTCTGAAACACACCCGGGAGACCTTGACAAGATAGGTCCTCTATGCTGCGCCTCAGTTTCTTCCCAAAGTGCTAGAGGGAAAGGGTGGTGACTGACCTCCTGAAGTGAAGGATGGGCCAAAGCCGGCCTGCTGTACTGCATACCCAGCACTTAGGGCCCTGAAACCGAGCACAGAACAAGGGTGTAGCAGGAGCCTTCTCGGACGTCTGTTTTCCCAGGAGAGGCTTTTGTTGTCTGGGAGACACTTGTCACCCCTCCAGGGTCTGGAGCAGGTACAAATGGCTTCAAGGAGGGAGAGTGGAAGGCCCGGAGCCTGGAAGAGGCTGCTTCTGGGAGTGGGTGGGGGGAGCCCGGTATGGCTGAGTGCTCTGGAGCAGGAGCAGTAACAAAGGCAGTGTCAGCCAGGCAGGCAGTGTGTACCCGCCAGCAGCTGCAGAACAAGCAGAATCATCCAGACAGTCCTGTGAGCCTGGAGAGATGAACACACACACACACAACCCACCCGAGTCTGCACCTGCAGTGGGCTTTCTGACCACTGCCCAGACAAGGCAGAGAGGGCCTCAGGGTTGCAGTTGGGACTCTGCCAGCTGTGCTGACCGCTTCTCTGCTGTGGGAAGGGGGGAAATGTTTTGTGCTCCTGGGAAGTTCTGCCTGTGCCTCTGACCCCAGGCAGGCCTGTGGGTTTCTAATGGGGCAGAGATGGCGAGTCTTCTGCAGTTTGCCCCTTCTCCAAACTGCCACAGCTTCCAGTCTTGGCCTTTGGCCTGTGGTGTGACATGTGATCCTTGTCACAGAGTTAGAGTGAGACCAAGCCCTCTGTGTTTGAGCCTCAGGTCACCAGGCAGTCAGAGGTCCTCGGGGTACGGGACCAGAGGGGAACTTCCTGTCAGGCCATTTGGTTGATGAGAAAGAGCCTCAGAGAAGTTAAGTGGTTTGCCAGAGAGTGCACAGCATTAAAGTAGCACAGATGGGATCCAAGTCCAAAGTGTTTGACTCTGGAGCCCAAGCACTGTCCTTCAGGGAGCAGATTCACCCCACTAGAGGGGATATACTTTGTGTTTGGCTTGGAGACCCCCCCCCAACACACACACCCTGGTGGGGGGTGTAGGGATGACAGGAGATAATGACCACAGGGGATGGAGACACTTTCTGCTCTTCTTTCTTCTCGGCCACACAGTACCCAGTACTTTACGTCTGGACCGAAATCAGTCAGTCCCTTCTCGGGGTGGTACTGGTGCAGGTGGGGCCAGAAGCACCTTGGGGGGCGCCTGGCAGGGTCATCCAGCCCGGGCTTCCTCCTCATGAAGTCTGGGGCTTTGGTCTTGGAGCTAGGCCCTCCAGATGTGTGACTCCACCTGTGTCCCCGGAACCCCTCTGGCCTTGAACCAAGGGGGCCAGGCAGAGCTACGGCCACCAACCAGGTGGGTGGGGAGCGTGGGGGTGCCCAGGTTGGGGGAGAGAGGTCTGAGGCAGCACGTGTGGGTCGTGAGAGTCTTGTGGGTAGAAGGCCATGAGGAGATGAGGGCGGTCCCCTCAGTAACCCCTGTGGGCCAGGGCTTGTGGCCAACAGTCGCTCTCTGTGCTTTGTTGCGTATTGAGCTGGTCCCTCGTTCCCTCCAGACTCCTCGCCTCCCTGGCAATACTCTGAGTCTTAGAGCCCCAGTGGGTTCTCACACTGGACGTGCTGAACCAGTAGGTCGGGGGTGGGGCTCAGGGATCTGCATTTTTAACAAGCTCCCAAGCGATTATGCTGCACGTGGTCCTCTGACTAAACCTGGAAAACTGCTGTCCTGGACCTCCCAGCCAGGCGGCCATGAGAAAACCCTTCTGGAGCCTTCTAGCAGATCGGAGCCTGGGGTGTGTAATTGTTTTCCATGACTGGATTTAAATGCATTCCAGTCTCCGTTGGGGCGCTGTCATCAGCTGAACTGCTCCCCTGTTTAAAATAAATGATGGAGTCTCAAGGGAGAGCCCTGTCTCCAACCCTCCCCCACCAAGTTTCCCAAAAGAGCAGGCTGCCCCGGATCACCTGCTCATGGCTCAGCTCCTTGCTCTGTCCTGGGCTGTGCCCTCACACAGCATGTCACACGGAGGCCTCCAGTCAGCTGCTTCTCCAGCAGCCTGTGGTTCAGCTCACCTGCTAAAGCCCTTCGGGGTGTGCACTGCCTCCCTGCCTGCCTGTGGCCCCTAAAGCTGGGTATTCCCTAATCTTCCTTCCTTGGACCTTCTTTGCTTGATGCTTTTCCTCAGCTGAAGAGGCAGAAGTGAGGGGAACCCCCATCTCTATTCAGGGGAGTTCCCAACATTTGTTTCCAGCCTCTGGGGAGCACCAGGCCTACTTTCTTAGGGGCTAACTTGATATCTCCCCTTGGCTAGCCCACTGGGGCTTTTCCAAACAGGCTGTTTGATTTGAGAGGAATCTGGCTACACCTGTCACCCTAGGGTGGTCCAGCTGCTATGGGTTCTGCATGGCTCCTTCTCAAAGCTGCATACCCTAATAGAGGAAAGAGCGCCTGCCATCTTTAAGGGGGCCCATCTCAGTAGCCAGGATTCCCCGCCAGAAACTTCTGACTTATCTTTGCTTCCTTGATAAAACTGTCTCTGAACCCCCTACCCGCACTGGTGTCTGTACTGTCTGTATTAGTGCTCCCCGGCTTGCAGCCTCAGGGTCTCTGCACCTTTCCCTTCCTTCTTCCCCCGCCAAGGCATGTTCAGCTTCTGCTTCTGCAGCATGTCTCATGCCAGTCTCTCCTTAGGGTCTCTGAACTCCCCAGCAACCTACCCACTTTGCTGCGGGCCGGACACTGAGCCCAGAGCATCAGCTGAACAGGCAGGGCCCCCCTCTGAACCAGTCCATCTGTCACCTGCTCAGAGACTGCCCGGCTTTCCTCCATCTGTGTTGGGGGCCATATGGCGTTGGCTGCTTGTCCCTGCCCAGAGTCAGGGCTCTTGGTTCAGATCCCGGTTTTGCCCTAATCAGCCTCATGACCCAACAGATTGCTTGAGCCTTCCGAGTTCCAGTTTCCTCGTCTGTCACGTCGATGCTGGTAATAATAGTCCTGTCTCACAAAGCTCTTGTGAAGATTGATGTTACGTGACCTCATCTCTAGGAGGCCTTGGCACATCATCTTGCCTGATCTGTATTATCGTGTTTAGTTCTCAAAACCACCCTGCTGGGTAGATCATCACTGTCAGGCCCATTTTGTAGATGAAGAGAGGAAGGCTCAGAGAAGCCAAGTGATTCGCCCAAGGCACACAGCTATAAAGTAGCAGAGGTGGGATTCAAGTGCAAACTGCTTCACTCCAGAGCCTAAGCTTCTGACTACTAACCCCCCTCCCTGGTTCTCTTTCTTTATCTTCTGTTCTTTCATTCATTCATGCTGCTAATATTTATGGCGTGCCTACTACCTCGGGGGTAACAGTGAACGAACAGATGAGGCCCTCCCTCACTGAGCTTACATTGTAGCGGGGGCACAGATAGGAAGAGAGGTATGGGAACTCCTGTAGGAACTTGTCTGAGGCCCCTCTTCCTCACTGTCTGCCCTGGGGCATAGACCAGGACCCCCATCTCCTTCCCCACTGCCCCTTGTACCTGAAGGCCTGCAGGCCATGGGCGTTGACTGGATTGGACTGGATTTAGGTCTGATGCTTGTGAAGGAGGAAGTGGATCACAGCAGGACCTGATGTAGGGTTTGAAAGCATTGGAATCCTCAGGGGGTGGGGGCATTGTGGGTGTGGAAGGAACGAGGTGATCCGCAGGCCAGGCTGAGGGCAAGCTTCATTGGGGAACTGCATGCAAATCAAGACCACCATGCGATTCCACTTCACACCCTCCAGGATGGCCCTAACAAAAGAAGAAGGGCAATAACAAGTACTGAGGAGGGCAGGGAGGAACAGGGACCCTCACACACTGCTGATGGGATTGTCACATGTGGCAGCCGCTTTGAAACAGTCTGGCAGTTCCTCAACATAGAGTCACCGTTTGAGGGGCTGGCCCCGTGGCGTAGCGGTTAAGTGCACTCGCTCCGCTGCTGGCGGCCGGGGTTCGGATCCTGGGCGCGCACCGGCGCACTGCTTATCAGGCCATGCTGTGGCGGCGTCCCATATAAAGTAGAGGAAGATTGGCACAGGTGTTAGCTCAGGGCCAGTCTTCCTCAGCAAAAAGAGGAGGATTGGCATGGATGTTAGCTCAGGGCTGATCTTCCTCATACACAAAAAAAAGAGTGACCGTTTGACTTAGCAATTCCACTCCTAGGTATATACCCAAGAGAAATGAAAACATATGTCCACGCAAAAACTTGTCCACGGTTGTTCATAGTTGTATTATTCATAATAGCCAAAAGGTGGAAGCAACCCAAACATCCATCAATGGATGAATAGATAAACAGTTGTGGTCTGTCCACACAATAGAGTATTATTCGGCCCTAAAAAGGAATGAAGTACTGACACATGCTACAACGTGGATGAACCTCAAAAACAAGATGTTCAGTGAAAGAAGCCAGAAACAAAAGGCCACGTGTTGTATGATTCCTTTCTATGAAATGTTCAGAACAGGCAAATCTATAGACAGAATGTAGATGAGTGGTTGCCAGGGGCAGGGGGTAGGAGGTGTTGGGGGTAACTGTTAAGCAGTGCAGGGTTTCTTTTTGGGGTGATAAAAATGTTCTAAAATTATGATGATGGTTGCACAACATTGTGAATATACTGAAAACCATTGAATTGTATACTTTAAAGACTTTATTTATTCATTTTTTTTCCCCCCAAAGCCGCAGTAGATAGTTGTATGTCATAAGTTCACATCCTTCTAGTTGCTGTACGTGGGACTCGGCCTCGCGTTGGACGGAGAAGTGGTGCCTCGGGGCGCGCCCGGGATCCGAACCCGGGCCGCCAGCATCAGAGCGCGCGCACTTAACCGCCAAGCCACAGAGCCGGCCTGAATTGTATACTTTAAAATGGTAAATTGTATGTGAATTATATCTCAATAAAGCTTTTATTAAAAAAATATGAGCCGGGGCCGGCCCGGTGGCGCAAGTGGTTAAGTGTGTGCACTGTGCTGCGGCGGCCCGGGGTTCGCAGGTTCGGATCCCAGGCACGCACCAACGCACCGCTTGTTAAGCCATGCTGTGGCGGCATCCCATATAAAGTAGAGGAAGACGGGCATGGATGTTAGCCCAGGGCCAGTCTTCCCCAGCAAAAAAAGAGGAGGATTGGCAGATGTTAGCTCAGGGCCGATCTTCCTCACAAAAAAAAAAAAAAGAGAGCCAGACTTCCCTGCATAGTGCTGACAGAAGGCAGGAGGAAGAGGACTCCAGAACTTGCTGAGGGATTGGGGGAGATACTTTCGGGGTACGTTGCTGTAGTTTTCGGGAAATGATCACCAAGAAAGGACTCTGTAAAGGAGGTTTCAATTCATCCTTCAGGCCTAAGCTTATGTGTTACCCCTGAGAGAGGCCCCCCATAACTGTCCCTTTGTCACTTGTCGTCTGTCTCAGCCCCTTCTTTCTTTCCTTTATAGCTCTTCCCACACTTGGAATTGATTTCTGTCCGTGGACCCGATCTTGTCTGACTCCTTGCTGGGCTGAGTTCCACAAGGTCAGGGGCTTGTCTACATCTTGTTCACCACATTGTAGGTGCTCAGTGAATACCTGTTGAATGAATGAACTCACGTATACGGGGGGAGGTCTGGGCTGGGGTCAGTGCTCACTGCCGGGGAGGGAGTGAGCAGAGCGGATCTGGGTGTCTCCCGGCCCCAGTGGCTTTCTTTTTCTCTCTGTTCCAGTTCCAGGAGAATGTCTGTGGAAAGGAAGCCCAAAGCCTGGTCTGGCTGGGAAGAGGCGTGAGGGGAGGGGGTGAGGGGAGGGGAGCGGGAGTGGGGGTGAGCAGGCCTGGGGAGGAAGTCTGCAGCCCCAGGCTGCTGAGGGCGCGGTGTCTGTGTTTGCACCTTTGGAATGTGGCTGATTCACTCTGGAGGGAGCCATGTGCAGCCACCGCTGCCGCCTTGGATCCGACATCTGGAGGCTGAATTCCAGGAGGAGAGACAGATTCCTGCAAGCAGATGCCAACTTTGAAGGTCAAACTGAGGGATGGAGCTGCTGTGGGAGGAGGCGAGAGGGTCCAACACTCGCTCCAGGATTCTGGGAGGGAGGTGAGAGCCTATCCCCAGCCTTGTCCCAGCCCATAAGCTATCAGATCCTCTAAGGGGACAGCCTGGGGCAGGGAAACAGCCTGAGCTCTGCAGTCAGACCTCAGTTCAAAGACAAGTTACTTAACAGCTCATATAACTGCAAAGGCCAAGGGCTTAGCTGGTCCAGGGCCCAGCAATGGCGCTGGGACACTAGCCTGCATCTCCTGGCCCAGTGTCCTCTGGTGGCTTTCCTCTCTTGCCAGCGCTCCCCCAGGCCTGCGAACTCCCAGCTTGCCTCTTCCCAGTTTCCAGCAAGACCCTCTCCTTGGCCCAGGTGGGGCACAGCTCATCCTGGACACTGATTGGACAGGTCTGGGTCAGGAGCTCACCCCAGCGCAGGGCCGACACCCCTGGACCCACATGGAGAATGTGGGAGTTGGAGGGGTCCCCCAAAGAAGCCCATACCAGGTGGTAGGCAGAAACAGCAGACACACCCACTCTGCTAAGCTGCCACTACAGGGCTGGCTTCTGGGTCTTGTCCCAGACACTGCTTGGCTTTATGGCTTTTGCCTACCCGGTGTCCCGCAGGTTAAGTTCCTTAAGCTCTTAGAAGCTCATTTTCATCTGTGAAATCTCATAGGATTCTTTTCAGGGTTGAATGAGACAATGCAGGCAGATCACTTGGCACTGCCTGGCCTGGAGGAGGCACGATGCTGACTTTCTCTTCCCTATATCTAGGTTCTGTGTGATCTGCCCTGGGGGCTGAAAGGATAGTGCGTGCGTGCGTGCGTGCGTGCGTGCGTGCATGCGTGTGTGCCTGGGGGCAGGACCCTTTCTCTTCTCTAAGGAGTTTTGTATTGTTTGGCTTCTCTCCAGAGAGGGTTAGGGACCACACAGGACAGAAGGTGGAGGCAGGAGGGCCAGGAAAGGAATGGAGAGAGAAGCATGTGGGCCTCACCTGCGGGCCTGCAGGCTCAGACCTGCCTCTGGGCATCACCTCCCTGTGCCCTCAGCTCCACCTGGGCCTGGAGGAGGGCCCAGGCGTCCTCCCACTCCACTGCTCCACAGAGGAGTGGCTGCCTCTGTCCCTCCCATGTCACATCATGGGTATGCCTGGTCATTTGACATTGGTGGGGAGGGCCTGAACCAGGCTTGCTGATCTCTTATATTCTCTCTTCTCCTGCCACCCTGGAACCAGGGAGTGGGTCAGGAGGGGAACTTCTCAGAAGAGGCTGGGTCTTTTCAGAAGAGGAAACTCGGTGCCTAGAGTAGTCCGAGCCTCTCGGACACCTCGGCAGAAACCTGGAGCTTTTGGGACGGCAGAGGGCAAGCCTACTGTGAGCTTTTTGCAGTGATTTATAAACTGAAAGGAAGCACCTCCCAAAATCTGCTTGGGGCATGTGGAGCCCTGGAATGAGTGTGCCACCCCTGGGCCCAGCACCCTCCGCTGCTGCCAGCCCTGCCCAGTAGCACAGGTCTGTGGGTGCCTGCCTGTCCCATCCCCACCAAACCACCCAAGTCCTCCAACTCAGCCCAAAGGCCACCTCCTCCGAGAAGTCTTTCCTACTGGCCACGAGAACCCATGGTCGTTCTCAAAAGCAGTGTTCAGTACCTCTGTGCAGAGCTGAATCGGGACACCACATAAGCCCACACAGGGATCGGCAGCTCCTGCCATTGGTTCCTCATCCACGTCCCGCATGCACCTAGCGTGACTCTGTGACAGTCGTCCCAGGCTGCCAGGACTGCGCTGCCCAGCTCTCTTCTGGGTGCTGAACATTCTTTAATGTGTTCATCGGGTCTCTTCCATTATACAACAGACTGTCTGACGTTGAAGGACATAGTAATGAGAGCTACATTTTCTGAGCTCTTACTAACTGCTTTTTAAAAATTGAGATATAATTCATATACTATAAAAGTCACCCCTTTAAAGTGGGCTTTCAATGGGTTTTAGTATTTTCACAGAGTTGTGCATCCATCACCACCACCTAATTCGAGAACATTGTCAATGTCCCCAGAAGAAACCCTAGCAGTTTCATCAATTGTAACGAATGTCCCACTCTGGCGGGGAGTGTTCATAATGGGGGAGTCTATGCACGTGAAGCGGGCAGGAGGTGTATGGGAAATCTCTGTGCCTTCTGCTCAATATTGCTGTGAACTTAAAACTGCTTTAGGGGCCGGCCCGGTGGCGCAAGCGGTTAAGTGCGTGCGCTCCCCTGCGGCGGCCCGGGGTTCGCTGGTTTGGATCCCGGGCGCGCACCGACATACTGCTTGGCAAGTCATGCTGTGGCGGCATCCCATATAAAGTGGAGGAAGATGGGCACAGATGTTAGCCCAGGGCCAGTCTTCCTCAGCAAGAAAAAAGAGGAGGATTGGCAGATGTTAGCACGGGGCTGATCTCCACACACACACACACACACACACACACAAAAAAAAAACCTGCTTTAAAAAATAAAATCGTGGGGCCGGCCCGGTGGCGCAAGCGGTTAAGTGCGCGCGCTCCGCTGCAGCGGCCCGGGGTTCGCTGGTTCGGATCCCGGGCGCGC